ATTTGATATTTGATTTTCAATAGGTACCTAATTTATCATTTATGAAGTATAAATAAACACTAAACACCTATATACAGTGTGACAGTGTTTAACAAAAAGATATGACAGAAAATGCCATAWCTTTTAAATGTTTCATTTTTCATACATTTCCGTTACGCCTTGTATAATAAATACTATATACCTAACAATAAATATATATTATATTTATTATACTATATATTATAATATCAATAATTGAATAGAAATTTATATGCGGAATGCAATATATGATCATTTGGAAAATAACTTAAAGAAGTTCACTTTTAAATGCTACGCAATTAAAAACTAATATCACTGTAATAAAATTATTAGTAGGTATACGTCATAATATTGACTAGGTATCAAGAGTATCCTAACCAAACACATTAGGTAAGGTATGTAGTATGCATATCTATGGTGATATGCTATTTTAATACGAATCGATACACAAATATTTGAATATTAATTGATGTCACATTTTTTATCCTTCTTAACGTTTACCATAAATGAGTGGAAACTTTTTATGTTATTGTTTATTTTTTTTTATTAAGACGTAAAAAACTGAGTCGTTAGTTACTAATTTTAAAGCAATTTTTAAAGATATAAGATAACTCATAAATCATACCTCTTCGTGTGTTGATGTGTACCGTGTGAATTTGAACTATATATTTAATGTGCACTGTACACTGTACACTGTACAGTTATTAGTATATTGTATTACATTATATATTTATGATTAAATTAAATTAATACAATATTATATCATTATATCAGAAGTGGTTAGATACCAACCGAGTAATAACATTCTATAGTATATTACACAAATTTGTGTGCGGAAATGAAAACAGATAAAATAATTGAGTGTTTTAATGTATAACTTATTATATAGTCATCATTAGTATATCGTTGTGGTAATTATGTCGCTTATTATTTCTATTATTTTTTAATATCACTAATAAGTAATAAACTATCTATAATAATTATAATCAGAACTATATGATAGTGTCCAGAAGAGCATAAAAAATATTATAGTAGGTATTTATGTAGGTATTAACTTACATTTATAAAAACAATATCCTCAAAAAATATTCAGGTACTTTTATAGTTATATTAATTAAATAGTAATTAATTATAAAAATTAATTCGCTCTAAACGAATTTATTTATTAGTATAATGACGAAAACATTATATTTTTAGTTAGGTATAGTATTTTTGCAAATCTGACATATATCATTTGTACATATTATACGTGGCATAAGGCTCAAGAGTTATATAGAAGTTAAAATCGATCAAATATGCATGTAAATATATAGTAGATAGTTGCATAGGTATTTGGTACACCTATATCAATGTTGCATAAGAGTATATTATTTATAAAATCAATAACTATAATGTTGTTGAAATTTAAGCGAAAGAGGTCTAATAGAAAACGATAATATGTCATCGTAGGAATCGTCATCGTCAGTCCGTAATAAAAACATATTGCGTCATCAAAAATTTTGATAGAAAAATTKGGATTTTTGCTTACTTGTACACATTTTAAGATAATGAAAATACTTAAACATRCGTTCATCATTGAGTAGTYGTATACAATACAAAGAAATATTGAATATGCATATAAACATCAAGAAATAGGTATATGCACTTTTTTTCTAAATTGTATAATGTATAGGTAACATTGGCTAAACGCTAAAATATAATATATTTAAAATTTTCGTTTTTGAACTCGTCATAAATAATATGAAATGAATTTCTAGCTTGTTCWGCTATAAATCGAGAACATTCAGAAAAATATATAACACCAATAACTTTTGAGCCCCATACARCAGTAATCTAACATTTGAGTATTTTATTTTATTCTGATAAAACTAATTTTTATCTAAGTATATATTTAAATAGTCAAAATTTCAAATGGAACATCATAAAAAGTGCGCTTGTACTGTATATAATATACTTAAAAAATATGACAATATTTTAAGTACTTATAAGTACATACAACATACTATATCATACATTACATTTTATTAAATCGTATTTTTTAGTTATTTATTCATATAACACAACCTTTTAATAAAATCTTGAAATCTTCTCCTTTAAACCACAGCCGCTTAACACAAAGATATTCAAACTATATGTCGTGAGAGTTGGCGAAGWGAGCCGAGTAGTACCGGAAGTCCGGAAGCCAATATTATAATACAATTAATATAAATTATAAAAATTATTTTTGTATCGTGATGATGGGACCGATAACGAAACACATCACGCTACCATTTGAAGTTTTATTCTTAGAACAAAAGTCACTGTTGTTATCAACCAATATGGCCATAATATTGTATCCGTATTATTCAAAGTTTTTCATAAAAWTTTGGGAGGTGTCAAAATGTTGTGAGCACACAAAGGAGCTGCAATATGAAAAAGTTTGAATATCTCTGCCTTAATAAGTGCATAAATCAGTCCGGATTTATCTGCAGTCGATAAGTGTACAYGAGTTTGCTCGCTTCCTGTTATTATCAGCTGTCGACTGACTCATACGCACTTATGTCCACTAATAGATATTCACCATGCCTCGCGGCCCGTAAGATGACGGCAAGTAGCAGAAGGCAAGCTATGGCAAGACCTTAACAAATCAAAACGTAATGTATCCGCTGCTTACATTTCTCCGAGATCAAATGATAAAAACATAAATAAARATTTAGTTTTCTAAACCTTTGTGCTGTATTTACCTGCAGTGAACGAAGGCTCGGGTGAAAACGCATTGTTCGCCACCCATAATGGTAATACCATTTTCCGYGAGGAACAATCTCGGAATTATAGAACATAAGACCTTGGGGGTAATTATTGTAATTTAAGAAAATTATCGAATACCTGAAACCGAGCTGAAGYAGTGGCTTCGATCGCTATAATATGATGTTTTACTACTTGTTGCGTACAGCCACATATTAATCATATTATTTTTGTATGGAGTACATCGGCGGGCACTATGTTAACAGGAACAAGAAAATAATATATTATGTTTTTATTATTCAATATTTATAGTATCACACGTCATTCACTATTGCGGGATAACATGGTCTATATGGGGTGGGTGGTAGAATATAGGTAGCCGACAGGATCAAGATTTCACAACATGATTTTTAAAGACGTTAGTGCCACTGATCAGAATGAAATAGCTGCCGAATATTAAACGCAACTCGCACCAATTAARGGTAGTAAAATTAAAAATCATAATTATGCAACGCTTAGCTCTAATAGTATCTCATATTATCTAGTTGAACTATACCATACGACAATTGAACGCATTTTGCAAATATTCAGAAGAACAAAATATCACCTACTGTCTATCAATTATGTTATTTTTTGTGGACTTCAAAACAAAAGTAACAATATTGATATG